CCGGTTTAAGCGTCTGTCCCGCCTACTACAAGCTGTAAGGGGGTAATTAACTATGGTGTGCGCTCGGCTGACTGCAATTTAGCGTGAACCCCCCGGGAGTTAGGTCGATCTAAATCTTAATCACTGGATCGATCTAAATCTCTGGGAATACACCCTAAGATAACCCGTTAACATTGCACAGAGCGTTGCATCGTTCTCGATGTAATTCTCTTTTGTGCAGCCATATAATACTCCATGTTTTCCCCTACGATATAGATGATAGAAGAGTGATTGTTTCGTTGTCTATCCTGAATATGTTCACCCCCCCCCCCCCCCCGCGCTTATTACAAGTCTACAAACATGAGCTAAACTGGTTTACAATTCTGAAATGCCATCACATAAACAAATCAGTTTTCTGAGAGAAGTTAGAGGCATAAAATGTACTAAATGACCGTGAACAATGTTTTGTAGACCAAGTCAATGCGCTCTAGCTCCACGGGGACTCTCGCTGAATGCAATCAGATAATTAGACTAACACGTCTCCTCCTGGCGTCGAGTAGAATATGGAAAGCTGGATAATCCGATTACATTCAGCGAAAGTCCCCGTGAAGTGAGTGCGCATTAGCTAGATCTACAAAATCCATTGTGAACGGCCCTATTTACTGATTCAAACCACTGAGACTGACAACAGTTTTCTGGCCAAAACGCGAAGCCACAAAGTGCAATTGCTAAACCACGGCTTGGCTTGCACTTGAGCGCTTACAAGGCACTTTATTGAGCTATTCTACATGTAAAGTCCGTCATTGCGTGGTAACGTATGTGTCAAGCACCGCGGAGTACAAATTGTTTACGTCAAATAAAGAATTGCACTGGATTAACATCAACATTTACAGTATGATTCTGGTTAAACAAAACAAAAACATGAACAGAGCTTTTTTTTGACCGACTTCTTTGTGGCCTGTCTTTAATCGCTGATAGGAAACGTAGTCAGTAAGCAGAAAACAAATTTATTCAAGGTCACAATTCAAGATCTGTTTAACATTTCCACAATCACCGTTTTACCACGTTCGAGAAATACTTCCGCGCTGTCCAAAATGTCATCAGTAACCGAGCGTCTGAGACACGAGTAAACAGTCATTAAGTCTTAGTAGGTTTTGACTGATTGATTGCCTTATAGTTTGATCAGCCGCCACTTAAAGAGAGAGCTCCCCACAAATGTTTGCGATATGATTGTCCTGCTGCGTGGAGTCTACACTAGGACTGGATTCCCATACCTAGATCGAACTAACAGGATCGATCCATCTCCAATGGTTTTCTCACTAAATTGCTTTCAGCTTAAGCAGCTTAGATGTCTGGCACGCCTACTGAAGCTGTTAAACGATAGTTCATTACCCCTGGCAGCTTCAGTGGGTGCGACAGACATCTAAGCCGCTAAAGTTGATTGCAATTTAGCGAGAATCCCCTCAGAGTTAGATCGATCCACAGTTAGTACGATACGGTTTGGGAATGGGCCCTAAAACAGGTATAACGGCCACGTCAGTACACATCATAGCGGACTTTGGATACAAACTTCTAAATAGCGTTACACTTTTAAAAAGCTGACATTATGGTGGTAACTCACTTAATTCGAACAAAACTGTTGCACTTTATTCCTTAGCACAACGATTTCAGGTAATACTTGACACTGGTACAATGACATAAGTGATTTTTAACAAGAGAGACTGGATCTTGTCAGAAAATACGTTCTTATTAGTGACTCAAAGCAATAATAGTTGAGGAAATAAAATATCGTAAAATGCGACATGTCTGGAATGTGTTAGTTATCGCAGTGGTAATTTCTATATTCAGATCAGTTATGCGACACAGGTTGAAATATCAGGTTACAAACACAAATCTTAAATATCAGGTTTGGAAATGTCATTAAAGTATCGCACTTGTTCTTGTCACCGAGTTTGGTAATTCCGATATGGTACCTTTACGTGTTCACCAAATCATACGAGTATATTGAGTACTCCATGGAAAAGCAGTTGAAATAAAGACAGAATTTGCTAATTTATTTTCAAATGCCCAAAATAACTCTAAACAAAGCTGTGTGGCAAGATAAAGTGTTTTTCTTGCAGAAAAAAAATGAATGGAACCAAAGAGAAAGGATCACCATCTCTTCAATAGAACTCACCACTACCATTTTGTCATCACATTTATTGCGCAATTCGAACTAAAATTACGTTGAAGCGTTTTCTTAAGTGTATTTATTAGTTAAACTGACAAGCTGGGGTCCTTGACATTAACGTGTGTACAATGCCAGTTACCATGTTAAACCGACCACTTCAGCCTCATGCCAAAGACTGTATTTATAGCCAAACACATAAATGTAAACGTCTTAATATGGGAATATAGCACTGATAACCTGTTATTTTGACAGGTGAGTATGAATATTAGATAAGCGATGGCCAAGACTATGAAGACACAGAGAGGGCAACTCGGGTTACTTCCAAACAAACAATGATTATATCAGGAATCTTTCAGAAAAGTGGCAAAAATAGAATCTCATATACTGTGGCCGAGTACTTGACAATGAGAAAGTGTGAACAAGCGGGGAGAAAACCAATACAATTAGAAGATATCGAAAGAATTGGGGTTTTATTTTCCGTATTGCGACAAATAAAAGATTCCGGTTAAGATAATTTTATTATTTCAACCAGCTGAAATATGCAAATCCTAAGACAAAATATGCCTACCTGAATGCCTACTGAAAATGATTTTGCCTTAAGTCGTGGTCTTTTATGCTAAGTGATATTTTTTCTTCGCGTGTCCGCTTTTCTCAATGATGCCTTTATTAAAATACATGCGTCAGTTATCAGTAATGTCCATAAGTCAAACCACGGTCATTTTAACGTGCCACTATGTGCAAACAAATCTCGACAAAGTTAACTTACTTTAAAAAACTGGGTTCTCTATATAATCTTGTAAGAATAAAACGTTTTATCCGCCCAAGATATAAAAGATTAGGGAGGGCCTGGTATAGGATATCATACGTAGACGTCATTAGCGATTATCATCGGACGTAGCAAAAGGTGTGGAGAGGTGTGTGGCTTTGTATCCAGTAACTAGCAGTCGTGCGTTACCTGCCTTGTGTCGCTCCGTTTTAAGACGGTGGTCTTTATCTTCGGACTTGTCTAACTGACCGGAAAACTTCCACGCACCTCTCCAACCATAAATATGATGACACTAGTGTCTCAAACAGTGGCCAAGCACGAGACATGCGGTTATTTTGTCTGTTATTTTTATATTCCACTTAGACCCCATTTCCAGAGATTAGATCGACCTACTTTAGATCGACCTAACTCCCTGGGGGTTCACGCTAAATAGCTGTCAGCCGGGCGGACACGAAAGTTAATTACCCCCTTACAGCTTGTAGTAGGCGGGACGGACATTTAAGCCGGATTATCTGACAGTAATCTAGTGAGACTCCCCACGGGGATAGATCGATCTAAATGTCTGGGAACACGCCCTTAGAGTACTACATGTACCTAGTGGTTAGACGTACTTAGCGAAATACACCATACCCAGCGTGTGTATGCTAGTTTAACAACAAGATAATGGCCATTTAACGCGTGTTCTCTGTGGGCTGGGCGTGATGGTACTAGAGAAAAACTAAGTGGTTGACTGGACATTCATGTCCGTGACTGATATAAAGCTCTCTCTCGTGATCAAGGTCATTTCTGTTGAAAAAAATGCAACAGGAGAACATTATGTTATTTAGCTCGAACACAAGACTGTATCCGCCGATACAAGAAGTAACGGGGGGTGGGGGGGATACTCAAAAGTGAAAATGTATGAAATTAAGTGCCTTACAGTATTCAACATCATCAAAAATGTCCATCAGTTTTTAATAAAGAAAATGTCTAAAGATCGTTATTTGAACCCAACAAAACATTGTGAAACCTACACGTTAACCTGGGCGAAGGCCTTCATCAGACGAAGTAGATGTTACTAATTGAACGCTAGGTTTAATTATATTCATAATGAGATTAAACCGTCGCATGGGAAATAATCGCCAATGGACAAGAGGGAAAAAAAGGACACCTATGAAATATTGATAGACAGATCTGGGAAAGTCTGACAATATATATACCAGTAGAAGATACTAGCTCTGTAAACGGGCTTTTTTCATACAGTTGTTCTGAATGTTATGCAATTTAAATAATGTCTGCAGCAGCTCAATTTACAGCTGAATTATAAACCGCTGAAACTGCATACGATGAACAACTTAACTCTCTCGGAAGTTAACTAGAAGTGCCTGCGTGTGTGTGCGCGTACGCGTGCGCATGTTTGATGTTTTGATCAATCAGATGAGAGATTACCAAAGATGTTGTGCACAGACATGACAGTAGGATAAACAAAATCTAACGGGAAGAACTGAATTTCAGACGTAATATTAAAAAACGATCGTTTAAGTTGACGATTTATTCTCACGCATCTAAGCCAATTAATGGAGCGTGATCTTTCATAAACAATGCCGGATTAATAACCTTGGCACGCTCACATTTTTCATAATGCAACACGGGTAGAAAAAAAAACACAGATTTTAAGAAACAGATGTGAATGCCCTACAAGGAATCTCGGCGGCTAAGGGGATTCTGTCAAATAAATTTGCACAGAAACGAAAAGGGAGGCCTAAATTTCATGTTAATCCAGAGAGTGGAATTTGGATGTTGTTAATTTGAAAAGCCAGAGCCTATGACTTAGGAGTCCAGATAGCTGTACCCAAACCCATCCTAGTGTCCAAGCACAGACGTTTTCCCTCACTGCTTTTTTTTTATCAACAACGGGCTAGTGAGTTTAAAATGACATATTTGCAAGTGATGGACAACTTGAATACTGAAATACTAACGCCATGTACTGACATGCAGGGGACTTCCGAGAAAAACATACACAATACCTAAATTATTTCCCTGTCATGAGAGACTACCAGATGTTCATGTCCACAGTAATAACCCCGGGGTAAATAATGCACTTACCTCAGTCTTCACTACAGCGGAGAGTAAACCAGTGGTGTAATATACAAGGAATCCCCGTCATAACAACCCACGGAGTCATTTAGGGTGCTAGAAAGCTTCCACACACTGTCCCTGGGCAATGTATAGCCTTGGAGCGAAGCTGTTATAGTGTGCCTAACTATGTGATATCCGGAGCGTTAGGGTCAGTTGGCCGTTTCCCGTTGGTCACTCACTCAGTGAATCATGTGCTGTGGTCGGTTATATAGGTCAACGTGGCACGGTCATTGCCTCAATAGCACCGCACTGGGCACCGTAAATAACCACAGGTTAACCCTCCGCCGTATCTTATCAACCCCTTAAAGTTATGTCATCGGTGTCTCAGCAAACGGTGACACTTTCACAGGGCAGCGACCGGTCAGTATTGAGCTGAACGCGGCATCGAGTGACCGAGGCGTTTTAACGTAGCGGTATGTTTAATGGATTAAGTAGCGTTCGGCGCGGGACGCTCTCAGCACAGTGAGGCACACACAATCTGTACTAACAATACTAAACGCGCCAGCAGCTGGCCGGGGCTAGGTCGATGACGTAATATGTGCGTGTTTACGTACCGTTTACCTGTGGACACAGACATACATTTGTATGTATTGAGATGTGCACAGCTGAATGTTGGGGTATTTTAACAAAATGAAACAGCGGGTGGTAAATCAATCCCCGGGGATAGCATTTAGACCCTGGGGATTTAGGCAAGGGGAATGCATATCGCCTTTTTTCGTATGTCACCAGTTCCCGCTGTTTGACTGAAGTCGGCAAATAGACAAAAGTATAGCTGCTACCATTACTCGTAAATAATTTTGTCATCTCACTCAGATTATAATTTCATCGTTTCGTCAATAACATACTTGATACAAGTACATCCAAAACATTGTTGAACAAAGATTCTGATAAAGCTAATGACTAGGAACATTTTGCAAACTTAATTCGTCACAACAAAATATGAAATGGTAAATAATTTACCCTAGTATACCATCCAGTTTACAAAGGATCTTTAAGTAAACCAGTATAAACAATTAGTTGTGTGTGGACCCATACCTAACCCCGGTTCTAGGTAATGCTCAATTCACAAGAACTGATATATTTTGGTTTCAACAGTTGCTGCACATTTTCTATGGTTTGATCTGAATCAGGGTCACTGCAAGTGAAACTGAGTAAAATAAATACGGTGTGTTTTTAAACTAAGATCTAATAAACAGAAAGATTGGACAGCGGCATTTTCCCTTTGACCAGACGTTCGTACGGGTAAACATTGCTCTATTGTTCCCCTTAAGTTGTTTTGATAGCCGGGCTTAATTTTAATCCCCATTGTACCTAACCCGTGTTTAGCGAATAGCGTGATTTCTCGTGCATTCTCGCGGACGCCACATCGTCGTCAAGTAGATCCGCCATATTGGATAAGCAGTGGCACGTGGAGTTATTTTATTAAAAAGTTCTAAAGATGTACAGTTTGTTTACATTTCGTAGTTGTCTTAATACTTTATATTCAGAGGAGGCAATACCCAATAGCGCACTACCTGTAACAACAGCTGCCATTTTATAGAAATTGACTCAATTTGGAGATATAGCCGGAAACGTGACGAGATCATCAACGTAACAGATAGTGATATTCGATGCCGTTTTGGACAATAAGGTCATGCTAATCACTGGGAGAAACTGAATGGTGAAGCTACACCAAAACAGAAACTTGATCTATTATGCCTGTTTGTAAAACTTCGTCACTATTAGCGGTCATTCTTTTAGAGCATAATCAATTCAAATTCACCAGAATATTCGTAGCAAATCGGTGAAACAAAAAGGACTGAAAAAAAAAAATCCTTTAAGAAAAGTAGTTTTTAATTTCACTTTCACAAACACTAATTTGGGTACCTACTTCATAATGATAGTGAAAGGTAAGACACATCTTTATACTGACAATCAAATAAAAGTAAACTCGTTTTTTCAAATTTTTAGAACACATGCAATATAGTTTCCTTGCGACTTCATAATCATGCACATATTTTTAAACTCTGCAAAATCTGTTTTGAAACATATGCCTTTTGAACATCTTCCACAGAATGTATTGGAAGAATAATATGTGTAACAATTTTGTTTTCCATCTCACTAAAAATGACTAAATAAAATATGATTGCTAAAAAATATCAATAGGCCCTATTTCATCAGATTTAGCATTTAAAACTGATCATTCATTTCCGGCTGATAAAGTAACATAATACAAGTCATATTCTGTTCATAAGCATTTTATTATAGATTTAATAAGGCACAGATATTGAAATGCAAATAAAAATGTTAACACCTTTAGATACCACTGACTGTTACACAATCACAACAGATAGGTAATTTATTTAGGAGTACTAGTTTCACATGANCCACGAGATCGTAACTACTTCCAGTTCCTGTGGTGGGATGGAGACCTAGAAGGCACACCTAAGCTATTTAGGATGACAGTTCACCTGTTTGGAGCTGCCAGTTCCCCTGCGTGTGCTAACTTTGCTTTGAAACAACTGGTTGAAGACCATGGAGAAGAATTTGATGAGAAGGTTTGCTGGGTAGCTGGTAATTGCCTTTACGTAGACGACTTGTTATTAAGCATTGATTCTGCTGAGGAGGCAAAGCAGCTTATTGAAGGCGTACGTCAGCTATTTCAGAAAGCAAATATAAGACTTCACAAGTTTATTAGCAACAACCAAGAAGTTTTGGAGAGTATTCCCGTATCAGAAAGAGGGGCACAGAGCACCACTGTTGATTTGCCTTTACCTGCCACAGAGAGAGTATTGGGAATTCAGTGGGATACCCATAGCGACCAGCTCAGCTTTCAGTTAACACTGAATGAAAGACCGATGACTAGAAGAGGAATTCTTTCGACTGTTGCCTCTGTCTATGATCCCTTGGGTTGTAAAGCACCATTTATCCTATTAGGCAAACAGATACTGCAGGAGATGTGTGCGGCCAAAGCCAGCTGGGATGATCCAATATCAGCTAGAAGAACTTAGACCAAGATGGGAGAAATGGCTGCGTGAATTGCCAAAGCTAGCGGAAATTCATTTATCAAGATGCTATATTCCCCAAGACTTTGGAAAAATTGTCACAGCAGAGATACACCACTTTTCGGACGCAAGTACCAGAGGATATGGCCAAAGCTCCTACCTTCAAGTAGTGAATAACAGAAACGAGTGCCACTGCTGTATCGTGTTGGGCAAATCTCGAGTCGCACCACTCAAGATTACTACAATTCCGAGATTAGAGCTTACAGCAGCCACAATGTCGGTCAAGATGAGTACTCTGCTGAAGTCTGAAATTACCTATGAAAACCTCAAGGAGTATTTCTGGACAGACTCCAAGATAGTGCTAGGATATTTGAAGAACAATGTAAGAAGATTTCATGTCTTCGTAGCCAACAGGATTCAGATGATTCAAAACGCTTCTGACCCTAGTCAGTGGCACTACGTGCCAACCAATGATAACCCGGCCGACCATGCTTCTAGAGGGCTGTATCCAGAGGAACTGATGGCATCAAATTGGTTTAAAGGCCCAGAATTCCTGAGAAACCCAGTTCTAAGCTAAGATCTAATAAACAGAAAGATTGGACAGCGGCATTTTCCCTTTGACCAGACGTTCGTACGGGTAAACATTGCTCTATTGTTCCCCTTAAGTTGTTTTGATAGCCGGGCTTAATTTTAATTCCCATTGTACCTAACCCGTGTTTAGCGAATAGCGTGATTTCTCGTGCATTCTCGCGGACGCCACATCGTCGTCAAGTAGATCCGCCGTATTGGATAAGCAATGGCACACGTGGAGTTTTTTTATTAAAAAGTTCTAAAGTCTTTAAGATGTACAGTTTGTTTACATTTCGTAGTTGTCTTAATACTTTATATTCAGAGGAGGCAATACCCAATAGCGCACTTCCTGTAACAACAGCTGCCATTTTATAGAAATTGACTCAACGTGGAGATAGGCCTATAGCCGGAAACGTGACGAGATCATCAATGTAACAGATAGTGATATTCGATGCCGTTTTGGACAATAAGGTCATGCTAATCACTGGGAGAAACTGAATGGTGAAGCTACACCAAAACAGAAACTTGATCTATTATGCATGTTTGTAAAACTTTGTCACTATTAGCGGTCATTCTTTTAGAGCATAATCAATTAAATTCACCAGAATATTCGTAGCAAATCAGTGAAACAAAAAGGACTGAAAAAAATCCTTTAAGAAAAAGTAGTTTTTAATTTCACTTTCACAAACACTAATTTGGGTACCTACTTCATAATGGGTACCTACTTCATAAGTGAAAGGTAAGACATATCTTTATACTGACAATCAAATAAAAGTAAACTCGTTTTTTCATATTTATAAAGAACACATGCAATATAGTTTCCTTGCGACTTCATAATCATGCACATATTTTTAAACTCTGCAAAATCTGTTTTGAAACATATGTCTTTTGAACATCTTCCACAGAATGTATTGGAAGAATAATATGTGTAACAATTTTGTTTGCCATCTCACTAAAAATGACTAAATAAAAGATGATTGCTAAAAATTATCAATATTTCATCAGATTTAGCATTTAAAACTGATTATTCATTTCTGGCTGATATAGTAACATAATACAAGTCATATTCTGTTCATAAGCATTTTATTATAGATTTAATAAGGCACAGATATTGAAATGCAAATAAAAATGTTAACACCTTTAGATACCACTGACTGTTACACAATCACAACAGATAGGTACGGTAAAGTCTTGAAAATTTCGTCGCTTAAAAATTAATTAATATTTTTAATTGTGTAAATCTGACTAATTTTTCAAAATTACCTCTCCCCGACTCCTGGGTATGACGAAATTTTCAAAAATCCGGTCTTTGGGCTTTTATCCTTAGCGACTGTTATCTTTGACCCTTCCATATTGTGGGATATTTATTACTACTTCTTAAGTCATTTTCTGGTGGTAAATAATAATCTATTTATTAGTGCATCTCGATTAAGTTATATTTAACTTACTGTATCCGAAAACATGTTGAGAATTATTTTCTAGGTAAGAAACATACCTCCTGATAGAGGAGAAGGATCAAGATAAGCCTAATTGCAACCTTGCATCATAACCTGGACGCGCCATGTTAAAAAAAATTACGCACTTGGGAACGTTTGTTGCATGCAGGGCTTTTCCCAGGATTGAGCGTCCGGCCTTCTAAAATTAACATCTCTAACTTCCTAAAGATTTACTGGGAGTTAAAATAATGATCTCCCGTTGACGATCTTCCGCAAACGAAGTTCCCTAAATCCCTTGAACTAATATGAAAATTGCATTTCATTCTTGCTTACATCGCGGACGATCTCCCAATGATGATATGAAAATTGCCTTTTCGTCTCGCTCGGGTCGCGAACGATCTCCCTCTGACGATTTTCCGCGAACGAAGTCCTGACGAAAGTATGCAAACGATTCTCCGCCGAAGATATGGTGTGAGCGGGGATGGGGGGTTTAAGATAAAACTAAATATATATATTATTTATAAAATTCAAAGGGGGAGGTGGGGTTAAAATAATGATCTCCCGCTGATGATCTTCCACGAACGAAGNCCTAAGATCTAATATACGGAAAGATTGGACAGCGGCATTTTCCCTTTGACCAGACGTTCGTACGGGTAAACATTGCTCTATTGTTCCCCTTAAGTTGTTTTGATAGCCGGGCTTAATTTTAATCCCCATTGTACCTAACCCGTGTTTAGCGAATAGCGTGATTTCTCGTGCATTCTCGCGGACGCCACATCGTCGTCAAGTAGATCCGCCATATTGGATAAGCAATGGCACACGTGGAGTTTTTTATTAAAAAGTTCTAAAGATGTACAGTTTGTTTACATTTCGTAGTTGTCTTAATACTTTATATTCAGAGGAGGCAATACCCAATAGCGCACTACCTGTAACAATAGCTGCCATTTTATAGAAATTGACTCAACGTGGAGATATAGCCGGAAACGTGACGAGATCATCAACGTAACAGATAGTGATATTCAATGCCGTTTTGGACAATAAGGTCATGCTAATCACTGGGAAAAACTGAATGGTGAAGCTACACCAAAACAGAAACTTGATCTATTATGCATGTTTGTAAAACTTTGTCACTATTAGCGGTCATTCTTTTAGAGCATAATCAATTCAAATTCACCAGAATATTCGTAGCAAATCAGTGAAACAAAAAGGACTGATAAAAAATCCTTTAAGAAAAAGTTTTTAATTTCACTTTCACAAACACTAATTTGGGTACCTACTTCATAATGATAGTGAAAGGTAAGACATATCTTTATACTGACAATCAAATAAAAGTAAACTCATTTTTTCATATTTATAAAGAACACATGCAATATAGTTTCCTAGCGACTTCATAATCATGCACATATTTTTAAACTCTACAAAATCTGTTTTGAAACATATGTCTTTTGAACATCTTCCACAGAATGTATTGGAAGAATAATATGTGTAACAATTTTGTTTGCCATCTCACTAAAAATGACTAAATAAAAGATGATTGCTAAAAATTATCAATATTTCATCAGATTTAGCATTTAAAACTGATCATTCATTTCTGGCTGATATAGTAACATAATACAAGTCATATTCTGTTCATAAGCATTTTATTATAGATTTAATAAGGCACAGATGAAATGCAAATAAAAATGTTAACACCTTTAGATACCACTGACTGTTACACAATCACAACAGATACGTAATTTATTTAGGAGTACTAGTTTCACATGACAAAGAATTATAGCATTTTCCCCCTATTTTGACTTGTTTCAACATGAATATCTCATTCAATAAAAATTATGCACGTGATGATAATATTTATCTATTGTTAAGAGCACTACTGACTAATTCAAACCTAGACTTGACAGTAAACTAAACTTCAGAGTTTACAGAAGGGAGACAATTTATAGTGATATATTTGTTTTTCATGAAGAACAACATATGGCTAGTTTCAAGGTGGTCCATTTACTGAAATATCAATGTGCCTGTCAGGTTCTTGAGTAGCACCGAGTTAACTTGACAGAGGTACATCGTCATCAGAATCACTTTCATTGCAACATATATCTGAAAAAAATATTATCACACAGTTAAAAAGATGCTGACGTGTTAATTGCTCATGTTATGTTAAAGTCCACTGTACGGACAACACTGACCTAGCTTTTCATGCACTTGTAAAACTATCGAGCAAATATTAAATATTTAATTTCGAGCAGCTTACCATTTTGCTTATTTAATACATCTGTGTGTCTTTTTGATTGTTTACAATCACTTTGCAAACTTGACAGTGGTGCATCTAAATCATCTGCAACACTTGCATTATGACATTCACCCGGAATAATGAAATAATATTTTACTGTTAAAAAGGTTCTGACATCTGCTAGTCTCTTATTATTTGTCATTTGTATAATTCCACTCAATCCACTGTGGTGATTGCACCTGCCTTTTTGTATCCGATACTGGTAATAATGTTGTTGGTACAGTGGAAATCCGATACTTGTAATAATGCTGTCAGTACAGTGGAAATATCTTACTGAGCATGACACACAAGGGACAGATTGATAGTGCCCATGTATGTAAGACATTTAACTTTCAACTCCATAAACTAAAAAGTTCTAGTTATAGACCAGAAAGCTTACCTTAAGATTTTGCTGCCAGATTTTGCTCTTCATTTTTTCTCCTGCGGGCCTTGACCCATTTTAATGGCATCTGAAAACAAAACAAAACAAAAAAAATAATAATAAGGATGTGAGGCACATTTTCACGCAATCTTCTCATTACTTAGGTATAAATCCTGGATAAAAATATCACCAGTTGTAGTCCCCGCCATCTTGTTTTATTGTCATCTTTACCGTTAAATATTCCTAAGAAAAAAAGCTAAATTTTAGCTAAGTTTGACCCTACGACCTTCCACTACTTTTTTAGATGAACACAGTTTAACTGCCAATGCATAGTACAGATCTAATTTCGTGTTCGGCTGTGCATTTGAAGCCCATCGATAACAAAAGTCGCCGCCATCTTGTGTTATTGTCATTTTTACCGTTAAATATTCCTAAGAAAAAAAGCTAAATTTTAGCTAAGTTTGACCCTACGACCTTCCACTACTTTTTTAGATGGACACAGTTAAACTGCCAACGCATTGTATAGATCCACTTTCGTGTTCGGCTGTGTAGTAGGCTTGTTAAGGGGTCAAACGCTACATTTTATAGTACAAATGTCTAACTTGGCATAAATGTTCCTTGGGCCAAAAGAAAAATTTTTATCCAAAGAGACGCCCTCTATCGATGCATAAATTTGCATAAATTATGCAAATTAGGTGCCAAAATATATAATATTTCATATTTCCATTAATTTTTGGCCTAGAAATATGTACAGATTATCAAACCTGACTAAATAAGGGACAAGGAACCCATTTTTGATCATCTGGAAGCAATTGGTGGCCATTTTGTGCCTCAAATCCAAGATGGCCGCCACCCGCCATTTTGAAAGTGGACATAATTTTGTTATTTTATGTTGAATTTTGAAGTGTTTGCTCTATATATACTTGATATATACATTGATTCCTACTATTTTGGGGGTGCAAAAGTCATTTTTGATATTGTTTTAGTGATAGAAGGTGATTTGAAGGGACAAAGAGGGTGTTTTAAGTGCCTACCAAGATATGTGTGAACGCTGCAAAACCATGGATATTGTTAACTAATATTCAAATATATCTCAGTGCAATTTTTTTGTTATATACTAATGATATTGGACTAAATTGTGAGCAAAAAAATCATTTTTACCATTATGGAAGCCATTAGTGGCTGTTTTATCCCTCAAATCCAAGATGGCCGCCAAAAACCATTTTGAAATTGAGCATAATTCGCTATTTTGAAACTATATGTATTACATCTTTGTAAATGAGTAATAAATCGTTTTATATTATTTTCTGGTGCAAAATACATTATCAGTTTCAAAAAATTTGTGTTGCAAATCCAAGATGGCCTTCATCCGCCATTTTGAAATTGAGCATTAGAGCGCATTCTCAACGAATTAAGCCAGGCTTTACAAAGCCGGTGACCTAAAAATGGCGGACGTACATGAAAGAAAAACGCCTAATCTTTTAATAGTCTCTCCGCCTCCCCACACGTCGTCCCTGCGGGGTACAGTAATTAAATCTCGGCTCCGTTCGCCATGCGGAAGCTACCTGAGAAATATTAAGTGCGCATGCTCATCAGTTAAACTCGTGGCGAAGAAAGCATGGCGGCTGAAGGCGATCGAAGGAAAAAAGCTCTTCTGTTCTATTATCTTTGAAAACAGAGACGAAAAAGGAATAATTTGGCCCGTAGAGCAGCAATGAATCAACTATCTACGGAGGTAATATCACCAGAGATATTCACGGAAATATTAATGTTCGGAGCCGAGATTTAATTACTGTACCCCGCAGGGACGACGTGTGGGGAGGCGTGTGAGAGGCGGAGAGACTATTAAAAGATTAGGCGGTTTTTCTTTCATGTACGTCCGCCATTTTTAGGTCACCGGCTTTGTAAAGCCTGGCTTAATTCGTTGAGAATGCGCTCTTATTCACCATTTTGAAACGATCACACCTTCATAAGCATGCCATACATCAATTTTTGAATATTTTCTGGTGCAGAATGCATTTTCGGTTTCATAAAATGTAAATAGAAACTTTTAAAAGGCTCCAAATAAATATAGCATTCAGTGGTCACATGGGCCTGCAGTTTGTATGTACAACAAGTAACCTAATTAGTACATAATTATGTGCTTTAATTACATATTTTAAGGATTTTGCCCGATCTATAAAACAAGTGTCAGCAAACAAAATGACTGAATTAAAGCAAAAGACTACATCTTTGACCGCACGAGGAAAATTGTTAACCATTATTTTGATCAAAACCAAGTGTTGGTTGCATGCCGCTATTTTAATAATTTGGTGTAATTTATAATCTTTGAAATGTGGGACCCTCGTACGCATGTATTAGGTAAAATGGTACTATTCTGGAGGCTCAAAATGAATTTTTCGGTGCTTATTTGGGGACGGAAGATAATAAAAAAGGCACTATAAGGTTGTAAAATAAATTCCAAGATGAGTTTCGTTGAGTCTATTATAAAAATGTGGAACCCGAACCACATGCTCAAATATATAATCTAGATTTACCTTAAGTGACCATCCACTAAAAGATACTGAATAATTTAAAGGCAAGGAATAAATATATATGCATAGTGGTATTATATTATTTATCTTTTACTGGTCAATGTGAAACAAAAAGCCACATGTACATTTATGTCGGAGTCACTGGGGCTTGCATTTGCATGTTAAACATAGTCTAGAAGATTTGAAGGGTAAAAATGTGTCGTCTTATACATGTAATACTATGAAACTTGGTTAGTTGTGTTGATGCATAAATGCCCGTGAAAGACAAGCAAATGGACTTTGCTTTGAAATACCTCCAGATCTTTTCTTGCAAAATCATCCAGCAGCACAGCAAAAAGAAACGTGCATGATCAGCTCTGGTAGGCCAATAAGACAACAGCCAGTAAGAATTTAAGTTTTGTCAGTGTCCTATGAGGAACAGCCAAACAATATATTAAAATTCAAATTAAAGAGAAATATCATTACCTGGGAACGTCGCATGAGAGGAAAGTGGTCTCTTTACACATAAAGGAAGGAATCTACAAAACCAACTAGGAAGCAACAGCTGCGCAGGTAGGCAAGAGGGATAATGCAAAAAAAAAAAAAAAAAAAAAAAAAAGTCCAGTAAGCAGCCTCCTTTTCTAGTTGACAGAGCCAGTGATCCTTCCTAGCATGATTTGGCCAGAGAAGTCATCTCACTACCAACAGAAATCCACAAGGCGACTACAGAGTTCTCATTGTTTCCAATGGAGGAACGAGCACAAAACATCTACAGCATATGAGAACTACAGGAAAATTCATCTTGGAATCATCTTAAAGCACCTTTTGCGTTTTTTATTATCCTCTTTCACCAAAACAACACCAGAATAGAAACAATTGATGAATGACGATTACATGAAAGTCCAACAGGCTAAAAAAGGTAAATTATGCCATTATTTTAAAATAGCGATAGGCTCTTGGATAAGAACAAAAGAATAGCTAACAGTAGTCACTATAAAGTCGAATCAGCCATAGTGGTCTCTTGCACTTAATCTATGTCTGCAAAACCATTTTGAAATTGTTATATAACATATTTTTGCCAAAATTTGACTTCAAGGCGTACACAAGCGAAGGTGAAGACGTAACCCTATACTGGTGTTGGAGCCTTGTAATATCTTCTTTTTGTATTATATCTCACAAGAGATAAGAAACATCTACAACCCAAATGATTAGAAACGATGCATAACATGCTAGTGTAAAAACAATAACTTCAAATTGATGAGTTATGCCTTACCAGTATTTCAAAATTGTGACTGGCGGCCATCTTGGATTTGAGGATCAAAATGGCTACCAATTGTCTCAAAATCATCAAGTATATGTTCTTTACCTTTAATTAAGCCATTTTGGTCTCTTAAACTTGTTTCAAGCTCTTAAGGATTTTATAAAACATTTTGTACTAATTAGACTACATGGCACATGTAAGTCTATGTGACAACTTAAGCCTACACGTATATTGATTTTGGATGATAAAATAGTTTGTATTCACATTTTATGAAACAGATAATGTATTCTACACCAGAAAATAATATAAAACGATGTATTACTCATTTACAAAGATGTTATACATATAGTTTCAAAATGCGAATTATGCCCAATTACAAAATGGTTTTTGACGGCCATCTTGGATTTGAGGGATAAAACGGCCACCAATGGCTTCCATAATAGTAAAAATGAGTTTTTGTGCTCATAATTTAGTCCAATATCATTAGTATATAACAAAAAAAAAAAAAATTGCACTGAGATATATTTGAATATGAGTTATCAATATCCATGGTTTCGCAGCATTCACACATATCTTGGTAGGCACTTAAAACACCCTCTTTGTCCCTTCAAATCACCTTCTATCACTATAACAATATCAAAAATGACTTTTGCACCCCCAAAATAGTAGGAATCAATATATATATCAAGTATATATAGAGCAAACACTTCATAATTCGACATAAAATAACAAAATTATGTCCACTTTCAAAATGGCGGGTGGCGGCCATCTTGGATTTGAGGCACAAAATGGCCACCAATTGCTTCCAAATGATCAAAAATGGGTTCCTTGTCCCTTATTTAGTCAGGTTTGATAATCTGTACATATTTCTAGGCCAAAAATTAATGGAAATATGAAATATTATATATTTTGGCACCTAATTTGCATAATTTATGCAAATTTATGCATCGATAGAGGGCGTCTCTTTGGATAAAAAATTTTCTTTTGGCCCAAGGAACATTTATGCCAAGTTAGACATTTGTACTACAAAATGCAGCGTTTGGCCAATTTTTGGTCCTTAACAAGCCTACTAGTGCATTTTAACCCCGGCGATTATGATCAGCACCGCCATTTTGCTTTATTGCCCGAAGTATTGTTTAAATTTTCATAGAAAACTAAGCTACTATAAATTAAATTATCAACCAATAAAACGACAGTGTTATTCAGTCATCAGTAATATAAAAACCAACGTACATAAAGTTAAACTCCCCGTGTTAGACCTTAGGTAACAAAGCATTCAAACTCGCTTGTCTGTCGCCATATTGCTAATTTGAATGCAACAACGGATTGAAGGCAAATTTTCACGATAATATCTGCTCCAAAATATTGCATATTTTACACACAAGTGAACCCTGTTAGTTTTCCCTTCTGCACATACATTCTCAGAGAAACTACAAGACTAAAAGAGGTAATTTACCTACCTTGAAATCGCCCACATGCAACAGAGCTCTACCTGCGCACGATCACAACGCGACTGACTACTTCCGCCGTNCCGCGGCAACAACGGCTTCATTTTCGAGGAAGCCACACGGAGGATGTAAGGCAACTGTAATGAGACTGTTGTGGTTTTTCAACGCGCTAACTTTTCAACCGGCAAACCGATATGTTATAGTGAGGAATGACGACAGCAGTTTGGAGCTTTCGAACGTTTATTCACCGACTCTTGCTTCTTACAACTTCACAAATATTTATACTCAATTTCTCCGTACTGATCACGCATTTACTTGTTTCTTTTCCATTGTCTTTGCGTGATTACAAAATATTTTCCATTCTCATGTTGCAAGTCACTATGCAACATTTCCTTATTAGGCAGGGCCGTAGCCTGAGCAAAATGCCAGGGGGGGCAGTAAGCGGACACGAGGGGGCAAAGCCCCCTGAGTGGGGAGGTTGTGGGAGGGGGTGTCCCACGGTGTGGAAAAATTTTAAAAACTGTATGTATAATACTGCATTCTGGTGCATTTTAACTGTTATTTATTGCTCAATCACTAGTCAGAAATTGCGATTATTTTTTTTTGCACCTCAAATCCCAGGGGGGGCAGCTGCCCCCCCTGCCCCCCCGGAGGCTACGGCCCTGTTAGGTAATCCCTAAGAAACTTGTTTTCAATTAAAGATATCTTAAATATTATTTGGATTACTCATGCTTGGACCTTATCCAAAACTCAGCTATCATGTGATAAATAGATGATCAAAATTATTATATGTTATGAAATTAACCAATCACATTAAGTGCAAGTTTTTTTAACCACCAGTCAAATCAGCCAGAAAGTGGCAAGGTTGGGTTCTCACAGAATACACTTATATTACTCACAGTGAATCATCTTTATGACTTTATTAAATGTATGAAATAGTAAAGCTTTGCGTTGCGTTTTTACCGAGATACAGCCCAATGCATATTTAACCCTCACGCGGAGAGTCCGCTTAACTTTTCAGCTGTGTGAGTGATGCATTTTCCCTCAAATTTGCTCTACAAAATCCACATGATTTGTTCGGTACATTACTTCGACCTTTACTATATTTGAAAGATTGATAAATAATCTTTATAACAACAGAAAATTTTATCATAATTTCGTTGCTATGGTTACAAACTATCGAGGTCATTTGGGGTCAATTGATGCTTGTTTCAGATACCCACCCTACATATAGCCTAATATCTCCACTGGTAGAGCTTCTTATAAATTAAAATTGGTATTTCCTGAGAATATAGGCATGGGGCCTAATATGAATTAAAAAATCGGCTTGGACTTTTTCCTGAAAAGCATGCACCAGCGACGCAAATCTTCCTATTTTCAGGCTATTTCATCGTAAAACATACCAGGCAAATGTCGCTTCCCGGAGTTTCGATTTTCATTAAAGACTGTTTAAATCAGTTCCAACGTGAATCAGTGCCTAAATTACTAAAATAAGCTCCGATATCTTCAATGAATTTATTCCCGGATGAAATTATATACCAAGTTGAAATGCTGGTTAACCTTGCATTCGAAACTAAGTTCGTGAAACCGGTAATGGCCGGTTCAAGTAGGAGGAAGGCGCACGCTGCAGATTTCCCGAATTTCAAGAAGCAAACAGCACATGCACTGTGCGTTGTTGTTCAGTAGACACTTACAAAGGCAAAAAAGTGGTGTGACATTCAGGAGACACGACAAAGATGTATGGGCCACCTCTCCATGCTTGCATTACGTCTACAATAAGAGGATACTAATGCTGAAAATGGACCATGCCTGCGTCATGCATATCACGTATGTTGTAGATCAGTTTCATCATCTGAAGCAATGTGGAGTGCACTCGACTCTGTCATCTGGCCCAGGGTATCGTTACATGCTGTGGTCTTTTGGGTAGCCACAAGAACATATTAACAGTCATTTCCTTGGACCTAACGGGAGCTTTCACGCACAGTTGACCCAGTTTTTATCATAACAGTGGGAAAGTTATCTGTCCAAAGGTCTCAGGTAATACAAATGTTTACATATATTAAACTAACATAAAACTTTAATTATTAATTATTAATGTGCTCACCGAATTAATATTAGAGGATTGAGAAGAATATTATGATGTTTTTCTTGTTAAAATGTACTAGTTTATGAGTAGTAGTAAGATAAGGCATATAACTTCCTAGTTCCCAAGTTGGATATCATAACAGTTTTAATGCATGCTGAATTGTTAATTAAAATATATATGAATTAAGCTTTGTTTTTAAACGGTGTTCATGGTAAGTTTTGTCAGTTGAAGATTAAACCCATTTAATAAAATGGAGAATGAAATTTCCTTATTATTTCAGCTAGAATATGCTTGAAGACTGGTCAGAGAAAGTCAAGAAATATGACAAAGAAAAAGTGGTTAATCCAGGTGCTGAAAAAAGGAAGTGTGAAGAGGATTGGCTCACTGCCAAAAGGAGTATATTGTTTTCACATTTATCTACTTGAAAAAGTATACTATCTACAGTTGGATCCAGGAGGACACCAATGACCTGATAGATAAAACATTTGTCAGTCATGGAGTAACAAGAAGAGTCCCTAGAAAGTGCAGCAATTTATTGGATCTTCATCAGAATTTGAGAGCTGATACATTTCGATTAACTTTTCGATAAAGGAGTTTTTTGTCTTGTTTCATTTCATTGAAGGTTTTCATGAATGCAACCTTTAATTGAACATATGTTACTAAAACGCTGATAATGGATATCAATATTTTAATCTTTCAAGCAAAGATCAGTATGACATATTTTGTAGCAATGCATTGCCCTGGTCTTGAGTACTGGTAGTGCAAAACAATCCAGGGTGCATGATGGCATGATATAAGTTCTTTTCACATCAGTTTTCATTTTTCTCTTAAAGGGCAAAAAATTAAGTGGATTATTTGAAGTTCTGTTGGTTTGATGTGTTTGTAAAATAAAAATCAAGTGTTTCTGTCTTTTTCTTTAGTTGAAAAAAATATCTAAAAAATTTCATGAGTCAAAACTTTGCATGTTTCTTATTCACTTAAGTAAACAAGAGCACTATTACGGGAATGCCAGTTAAAATGACTTCTACCTATAGATAACCTATAGAGATTATGGTTAGAAGTATTTTTTGTATGTAGTTTTGATCATACTTTCAAGTAATTCACTTATTTATACATACATATCCCATGAAAATGGTGATTATGTGTTGTATACTGAATAGTTGATTGATTGATTGATGCCCATTTGTGTTCACTGTTATTTCTTGAAGAAGTGATTGATTGATGCCCATTTGTATTCACTATTATTTGTTGAAGAAGTAATCTGTTTTTGATAATAAGTAGACTACCTGTACTACATGCAGTCTGAAGTTTCTGTGAACATGTTGAAGGACATTCACTTTCTCTATAAAATAATAACATATACAAAAGTGTGGGTTGTTTGTTGTTTTCTCTTCTCAATTAATAAAGATTTTAGACTAATCTTATTTTTAATTAATTTTGTATGCCATAGCATTATAGAAAATGCACTGCTGGTTGAACAATGGTAATATTATAAGCACTTGAGCAAAGGATAGAAACTTGCCGGTTGAAAAGGCTTAACATCTTGACCGGTGCTACATAAATTTCAGTAACAAATGACCAAAATATAAGAATGGAGGTTTAAATTTTCAAAAGTAGGCTTTGATAGAGGGGCATTACCTTCTTTTGTAAAGTATACTGTTTAAATTTGCCGTGATTAGAGGAAGTGAGCAGGTATTACTGGCCAAGACAAGAGCAACACCAATCTAAATCCTTACATTTTCAGACATCAATATATCACCAACAAAATCAAAGTCCACGGATATCTCTTTTGTACTTTATCACCCTAATGTTCCCTTTTAAACACATATAGGTTTTACAGTCATAGGACCTTTACCAGTGGGTATATGACTCTTTGAAAATCGCCATGCTAAAATATGGTTTTGGGGGGTGGGGAGCAAAATGTGGGCACAGTGTGGACTAGGTGGGTGATGTTTTTTGTTTGAATGTCTTGGGAGAAAGAATATTGATTGACAAAAATATCATGTAGGATTATTGTTAATATATAGCTAGATAAGGGGGAAATAAGCATATATATGAGTTGCATGGCTGCTGACTGAAAATCTGCTTCGAAAGCCGGAAAAATCGAAAATTGGGCATAAATCCCTTGAAAAACGGTTTTGGGGCCAAACGTTTGGCAGAAGTTAAAAGGGTCCCCAGGCAAGTATTTCAGCCCAATAAGGTCAAATTCTGTGAACCCCCATCTTGTCGCACTTGTCTGGTGCTTAAAAAAACTGGCACTTAACTGTTACTGACTTTAACCTTTTCCATCTTTTTCTGACACTAAAAACATGTTCTACACTTGTTGACTCTTGGAGAAACTTAACTTACACTCAATAACTCTCTGTCCTTTTACTCTTTTAATTCCGCTTTAATTGTTATCTGTGATTAGTGAAAGTGTAAGTAATTTGCTTTACAACATACACCCCTTCTTCAAAAGAATTCGTCCTCGAATTCTAAAACTTTACAACATACGCTCCTTTTTCATTTTTTCTAAAGCAAAGCAAATACTAAATAACACAAAATACATACATTTTCAAAAAGATTAAATGATAAGGTCACATATATGTCATCAATTTAAATGTTATACGCAAGTTCGTCAATTTCTGCAAAATGAAATAAAATAATAATGAAAGAAAATAATGATTATCTTCCTCAAATACTTCATTTCTACCACAAAGTTAGGCAAAAATATAACTAAGAAAAGTAATTCTATATAATTAACTTATACATATAATTAGAAACACAGTCAACATGAAACAAAAAATATAACCTGAAGGAAGATACATCAAATTTATTTCACATTGTCATGTACACTTTTTTATGTGTGGCCTAAGAGCTTAGATACTTTTTGTTTGTTTTCTCACGCGGATATCGAAATATATTGCTCTCTTATTATGGATATGACACACTTTATTATACAGTTTTTTCTTTCGGTTGCCATTTAAGACATAGNTAAATGTTATACGCAAGTTCATCA